CCCCAAAACCCCAAAACCCCAAAACCCCTGGGTGGATAGAGAAGGTTGAATGGGAAGTGGAGAGCAGGGAAAGTGAGGTAACAGAACGACTCAGGATCCCTTCAGGAGCGCACAGAGGGATAGTAGAAAATTTAGGTATTTTTAGAGTACAGGACTGGGGAGATAGAAGAGAAGAGAGAAAGAGAAGAGAGGAAGAGAAGAGAGGAAGGAAGGAGTGGGATCTGTGTGACGTTCTGGAGTGTACGGTTAAGGGAAAGTTTAGGTGGAGAGGGGATTGGGAATTTGGGTGGGTTGATGGGTTTTAGGGTATGTGGGGAGGGCTGAGAGGACGGTTAAGTATTGGAGTGGGAAAGATGGGAGGATTCCTTTCTGTGATGTTTAAAATTTGACATTTTTAGATGGAGCAAGATTTTGAAATGATAGACAATGATTTTTGAACCTGTATAGCATAGCGATTATAGTCAGGAGTATGTATTTGAATTAAAGACTCTCCTCGTTTACTTAAGAGCAGCATATCCTTAAGTTCAAATTTTGTATCTCCTGAAACCTCCAAATGGCATAATTTTGGGTAAAATATTAGCTGTCTCAGGAAAGACACAAAAGCTTATAAGAAATTTTGAAGGATTAGAATGTCTGACGATTCTGGCCAGTAAACGATATGCAACACTTCTATAGTGTGATTGATCAAAAAGAAAAATTTCATCTTTTTGATAATTGAAGATCTGATATTCTGATCTCAAAAATCTCAGGAATTTGAGAAAAATGAGAATGAATAACTATCTACATTTATTATGTGATGTCACGAATTTTTTTAATTTCTATCATATCATTAAGGAAGTTAAACATAAAAGCTTTTGAAGATAAAGAGGAGGCTAATACGATAAAACTCATCATATTCCATTAAAAAGCCATAATGGAAGAAGACAAACTTAGAATGAAAATAAGCTTTTGAAAATATTTTAGCACAAATTAATTAAGTCCTCTCAGCCAACTCAAACTTGCTGAGCGTCTTGTCCCAGATTCATCTGGTCAAGTCTTTGCATATGGCCACGAACTCCTCCATGGTCTTGCCAGGAAAGTCGTAGATCAGTTCGTCGTAGTCAATGTCTGCTTGGCCCTGAAGGTTCTTGAGGTTCTTCTTGAGTCTTTTGATTTCACGTTTGCTGTAACCTCTGGCTATTGGGTTGAGGAGAACAACACTTACAGTAAATTTTCTGGATTCTTGTAACTAGGGTTCTTAAAGGATTCTTCCATTCCAAAATGTCTGCAAGAAGCTCAACATCTGAGCTCTGATAAGCTTCATATATTGGCTTTAGCTTAAGTATCTGTTGTAGATCAATTTTCCCTTCTTTGGACAAATCTTTAATGATCTTGCAAAGGTTCTTATCTTGTTTTAGTCCCCATCTTTTCTTAATAGTTTGATCTTTTAAATTACTGTGACGTACATAATTTTGCTTGCTTTTATCATGACTTCTCCTAGTTCTCGATCTCATAATATTATCCCAAGCTTCTTGCTCATCTTCAATCTTGAGGGATGGAAGAGTCTGAGCACCTTTTACATCTATTGATGCTTGCTCGTATGTATCTTCATCTTTCTCGTCATTAATCTTCCTTTTGGTTTCTACGATGACAACTTCCTCAGCTTCATCTGCTTTCTGAGAGCTGATTTCTAAATCATCTTCCTTCTTGGCTGAAGCCTTTTGTTCACACTCAAATATTTCTGGAAGAAGATAGTTGGTTACTTCTGAAGAGTTTAATGTGTTGCTAGCATCATTTAAGAAGATTGTAAAGTCCAAAGTCCTATCATTTGCATATCTTGACGAATCAAAGTAATCGGTTTGTTCATTTGGCTCTATAACATACTTAAGTTTCAAGAAGGAAGAGGGAGGCTCCGGATTATCGAAATATTAATTGTTTGAACGATTTAATCTAGCATAGCTTAATGGAAGCTTTTCTGTAAAGGTCTAAGTATAATCTTTGCCGGAAAGAGGTAAATATTTTTATTCTGAGTATATGTTAAAGCAAACTGTAAAGGAGTTAGAGTATTTTCAATTAAGAACGATCACATTATTCTGTCAATGCCAGAAGTTATCTAATTATGCAAGAGACCAGAAAGAATATTTATGATACTGTTGGTAAAGTTGAAGACATTTTGTGTAATTTTTGGACAAAAAGAGGCCGAGAACATTAGATCAGATGCATTATAGAGGTGGCGAGAAGCCATCTTAGAGTTCTCTTTAGCTTTTTGAGCATCTTACCATTAAAGAAGAACCTGATCTCATCATCCTTGCTTTTGTTGGCATTTACAGATGTACCTTTAGTGGGAATTGTGTTCATGATAAATTAATTAATGATTAAAAAGTTTCTTTAAATATTATTCTCTCTCATCGAATCAAGCCCAGAAATACACCAGTAAATCTTCATAGAGACTGAGAATTTGCTGGATTGCTATAACGTCACAAAAATTAAGGTAAGACCTGGAATCATCCAACTGATTTTATTAGGGAAACGGTGGTCCATCTGGGGAGTTGGTTTCTTATTGGCACATTTATTCTATTTTTAGCTCATAAAGTCTGACAAAACTGTCAGGAAATATGATTCTTCCCTGATGAAAATATTTACTTTTGAGAACTTTTTAGAAAGCTCTTTAATGGCAATTATAAAGTTTTTTAGGAAGAAAATAATGAAAATATGCTAATGATTTCATTAATATTATTGTTATATGAATCTCAACTTAAATTTGAAATATGAGAAAAGTGGCACTCCCATTTAAAACACAAAACTTGGCTAAAAATTACAAAAATGATTCCAAAAATAGTACCTTTGATACTCCTAAATACTCCTTTTCTACAATTCTTCTATCTTTCTCTTTATATCTACCTTCAAACCTCCCCCAGCATCATTCCTTGTGTCTAAATACCCTTCCATATCTCTCCTTTGCCCACATTCGCACTCTTGATCCTTTACTTTTCGGTTTCATATTTCAACCTCCCTTCCCCAACATGGGGTTTTGGGGTTTTGGGGTTTTGGGG